ATATATGTATATATATATATGTTATATGTTATATATATATATATATATGTGTTATATATATATATATATTATATATATATACACACACACACATACACACTGATAGATGAAGCTAACTGTTTCTCTGCTCTTTTCTTCTCCAGTCTGCTGTTGAAGCATTTATTGAAGTCCTGGAATATCCTCCCACCAAAGGTACGACTGCTGCCCTAAGGGCTGACGGTTCATAAACCAAACTCAGCTTCTGCATACTACATAGTAAAATTAGTGCATGTTTACACACCGAGAGCAACAGCTTTATTAATAAACGGATAAATAAAAAGTCTCGTGTTTAAGTGCTGTACTTTCTTTTCCATCTGAAGCTCCGGAAAAACCTTGAAGAAACGGTGCAGTCTTTCAGAGTGACCAATGAGGAGATGAAAGACACCGTGGAATCTCTGGAGCTTCAGGACTGCAACAGCCTGTGTCAGGTGAGAACAACGGTCCCTGTGTGAGCTGGATTAACCTTCTACAATGCGTGCTATGAACGTACCGAACAATTAGATCGTCAAGCACAGAAGTAGGAGTCAGTGTTTCCTCTTCCGTGTCCAGAATCTGCAGGTGAAGATGCGCGGCCGTGGGTTCCCGTGGTCCAAACTGCTCATGGTTTTGCTCGTGTTTGTCGCCGGCTTCATTGCTCACGACATCAGATCTCGTGGCTCCTTCGCAGGTCTGTCCGAGTCCTCTCCACCCTTTATTGTTCTATACCACAACGTGCAGGGCTTTGTTTTTTCCGATTTACTTCGTTTTCTCTGTTTTTCAGGTCTTACGAAGTGCGTTGTGTGTTTCAGATTCCACCACAGCCCTGTATCTACGCAACTCGGGGGTCACAGCCGTATCGCAGCAGGCCTGCAGCAAAATACAGGTCTACTCCAAACAGGGCTTCAGGTACGGCCTCAGAAATGGTCTCTGACTGCTTTCTAGACTTCTGTCCACGGTCGGACCAGAGGCCAGTCGAGCCAAAGCTTAAAGATATCTCACGCACGCTTCGGATTCACTTCGTGTCAACGTTGCTGTACACAAAGCAGTTTGTTCACATTCTGCTCCACTGGCTTATGACTAAATAATAGAAAGGCCTCGTAATATAATGTAGTCCAGAACAAAACCATCTTTAACTCTGACCTCAATAATAAACATATAATTGAAGACAGATGTTGTATTAGATTCCATTCGATGTACAGCTGCACCTAATGAAGTGGCCACTGAGTGCATAAGATGTAGTTAAAACATTTAAATACATTTTAAATAGTACACTGCTAGTTAATAGTAATACGAAGACTTAATTCAGTCATCTTTGCAAATTGAAAAAATCCAGTTAAAGTGTACGAAAGATGAATGAAAATGTAACATTGCAGGCGACTACTTTACATTGGAAACAATGGTTGACAACACATTGACATATTCAACAGGCATCTGCATGCAACTGTGTAAAACTCTAACTTTGTGCACCTAGTGACCTAAGGGACACATATGCAAACCCACTGGATGTTTAATTACTGTATATGCAATTTAATAATTTAACTTTTGTTTTTATTTTGTGTTTTTGCATCCTCTGCAGCTGGTTGGAGACGAACACGCCTCATTATTACTCTGAGTGTGCACGGGTTTTGGGCCCACTAATGGACCAAGGTTTGGAAAAGACTAAAACAGCGGCCATCTTCATCTCTGAAAACACCACGCAGTTTATTCTCTGGGTCAAAGAAAAGACACCGCAGGCCATAGACTGGGTGAGGCTTTAAAACGCTGATGTTCACCTCACTTCCATTTTCCTCCAGTTAACTTTTCAACACAAAGATTGAATGCGTTTCCTCTTGAATCAATGGAAGCCATTGTATTTCATGTCACTGACCAGCGTATTTCCTCTGTGTGTCTTTGCACAGGTGAACACCAACACTCCCGACAGTGTATTCCAGGTGTTGGCGTATTTAAAGCAGCTGCTCCTCTCCCTCCATCAGAACTACATCTTGCCAGCACTGGCGTTTATATCTGAACTGCTACAACGAGCGTGGAGCAACCTACAGGACTCCTGCAAGTCAGTACTTTGAGGCATCCTTTTAACATGTTTTGTATCTTTTTTTATATTATTAATTATAACACTAGATGGCCTTTTGAGCCCTTATCAATCCATCAAAGGCAGATTTTTTTTTTTTTTTTTTTTTTTTTTATAAATTTGATGGACGAAAGCATTGATGTGTTTCATCGCAGTACAGCCACATAATTCAATTCACAACACATTCAACATGTTGAAGTCTGCAGAGCCCTTATTAAAATAAGTGTTTACTAGCTAAAGATGATGCAACCCATTTCAGTGAATCACTATTTTGAAACGAGGGCAGCAGTCGCTGAGAACGTAAGGAAGAACATTCCATACGAACTCACTGGATTTATGAATAGCTGGTTCATCCCGACCCCGGTATCCAAATCAAAAAGCTGCATTCAAGGTTTTTTAAGTTTTAGAACAAATTCTCAAACTATTTCTTCTTCTTTTTCCCGCCTGCAGTGGTGAGGTGTCCGTCTCGTGTCTGCAGGGCCACGCCGTGTCCTTCACCAACACAACGTGGCAGCTGCTCCAACACACAACGTTGGCCATTAAGACGTGGGCCCAGGAGCTGCTGACACAGCCGTGATGACGACACAGATACCGACTAATTTACACACGCAATACACACGCATGAAGTTATACACACACACACACACACACACGGCGACCTAGTCTGAGGCTGCCTTTCAGTGCGCTGGCCCCCGTGCTATGATTGGACACTGTGGGGTCAGACAAACGAACTCTCACTCAAAAGGACCCATCTATTATTATTTTGGTTACATTTTTAAATCACTTTGATATTGTAAAATGTTTTTTTTTTTTTTTCTACCAATCTTTTTGTCAATGCTGGAAGCAGAGGTCCTCTCTCTCGCTCTCTCTCTCCGTCTTGCTCCGTCTCTCTCTCTCCGTCTCTCTCGCTCTCTCGCTCTGTCTCTCTCGCTCTCTCGCTCCGTCTCTCTCGCTCCGTCTCTCTCGCTCCGTCTCTCTCGCTCCGTCTCTCTCTCTCCCTGAGTTTTCTACTGCGAATTCAGCTGTTGCTTTAACCTTTGGGTTAAACAGATTGTGTAATTTATAGAAAATGTAGGTTTGTAGATGATTTATATAACATTTTTATTTAATGATATATATGTAAAAAAAAAGTGTTATGTGAAAACTTGGTAATGGGCAGGGAAAAGACCAAAAACAAGATATTCCAGACTTTTCCAATCCACTGAAGACCTCATCTCACACGCTCGGTCCAGCTCAGTCTGAAGTACGATCAGATACAGTATGTTTGTCAGTCTCAGTAAAACCTTCATCAAACCTGAGAATCTTTCCAGTGGGCAGCTCACGTCTTCAACAGGAAAGATATTGTGGGTAAAGTGGTGAGAATATTTAGAGTTGACAGCATGACCCAAATGGAGGCTCACATCTGTCTAAAAGATCCAGAAGAAGAAGAATAAATCTAGCTGCTGTCTTGTCTGCCTGTCCTGCATTATCTCCCCGTCTCATCTTTGCTGCTTTTCTCATCTGTCTGCTGTTTCTCTGGAGTTTTCATTTGACACAAGTAGCTCAACACCTGAGCTATAAACAGCGGTGGTGTTCTCATTCTTGAAAGCTAATGATGTTCTGTGTGGATCAACAAGCTCGGTCTCAATAATAGGATGATGATTAACCCCGTGCCAACATCCTCCTGTACCCCAGAGAATGAAGAATAAACCCTCATCTAGGGAGGGTAAACATTTCTGACCAGCTGATTCACTAACCCTATTTGTTAACAGGATGTAATGATGGATATGGCAATGACTAATGTCTTACTTTGTAATGTAAATGATTTCTAATAAAGACTTCAACCCCATTGGTTAGTTTGTCTGTGTTGTCTCTATCGTGTTTCCAGGATAAAACATGACATGCTCCTTCTGCTGGTGTTTTCATGTGATCATGTACGCCTCGCTCTTCTCATAGGCTGCAGATGTATCAACAACACAGCTCACCATACTCGCGATTTTCAAGCCACATCTCATCTACAACGGTGAATAGGCCTTAATAACAGCGCACCAGACCACAGCCACCTACGAAATTAAAGAAATGTATAACGTTTGCAAGATCGCGTCGAGCTGGATTCGCTAAAGCAAAACGGTACTTCATAAAGACCTGTTGCTCTGCATTACGAGACACTAGAGTCTGCATATGTGGTCTGGTTTTACTGTTATTTGTATATGTTGCGTCATGGTCCAGGTCACATTTTGTTATGGGTTGATCTTAAACAACTAACGTTAGTTACCGGCTTAGGTGTATCTCAGAAAATACCTGGAAGTCATTGACGATGGAACACTAGACGACGCACAACTCACTATCTTTCTGTATGTCATTTGACACTCTGTAGACATCGTGGGGGATTAGCTCAGATGGTAGAGCGCTCGCTTAGCATGCGAGAAGTAGCGGGATCGATGCCCGCATCCTCCAAGCTTTTATTCTTTCTCTCAAAAGACAAACACTATTATATATAATGACGGATATGTATGTACTACATATATATATATTTATTCATTCATCGTGTCTTATTTAGCCTGACTTGTTTTTGTTTAGATTGTGTTCGTTGTAGAATCTGAATTAATGGCTTATGTTGTGTAAACCTTCCTCTGTGTCCAAACATGTATTAGTAAAGATTCCATTTCAATGGAGGAGAGTTTTAGGTAGACAAGATTAAAGGGGAAAGTGTAGTTTTTAATTCCAAATAGCAGCACATGTAGTCATACGATCTAATTATCAGATGTGTAATAAAATATAAATCACTGATTCACAACATCTACGCTTATTAATATAGATATAGCGGTTACCATTGCTGGTACCCTTTTCGGGATTGTTGATTTATTGTCATAAAACAATCAACTTGGTGCTATAATTCAGATTATAAACATTGGAGGGCAGAAACATAACATCTTGGCAATTGAAGTAAACAAACTAAGTTACAAAAATTAACTCAAAAGTTAGTAAGACGACTTTGTTAAACAACTTAACATTTTATTACATTTCTGCACATGCATTGCTCCACATGAAACTGGTTTGTAACCTTACAACAGTCTCCTCATTTAGCAGATAGCGAGGAGAACTGTTGCGTCATTATCAAACACACCTGTGCCTTTAGAGAACGGGGAGAAACCACATCAGCATTTCAGACCTTCACATTCTCAGTCTGTGGTGTAGATGTGTTGATGTTGCCACCTACAGGAGGGAACAAATGCTGTAATTTCAAAACCTGCAGGAAAACTGCAGTTTTTTTTTTATAGATTTAAAAGACAAAGAAAAGTACTGGGAAGAGGAGGTTAGCTCAAAAGTGCAGCATGCGTCTTCCCCTGCCTGCAGACAGCACACATAATTAATCTGCAGGTCTAAAGTGATGCTGCCGTTACATTTCTCATCTGTTGGTGACTTAAGTAGAACTTCTACTGCAGGTCCAGTGTTGAACATGTGACAAAAAATAACATTTACTCAAGGTCCACTTACTTGCTTTTAACTAAACTTCTATTTGATCATGAGAAGTTTTCAAAAGCTTTGTGAAAATCTAGCAAAATTACTGTTTTAAAAAGGAAAATAATGAACTTTCACAGGGCTCTTAAAGTCTGGGAAATTACATTTTATTTTACTATTTTATAATCTATTAATCTTTAGTTTTGGTTCAAGCAAAAATGCAAAACACGTGATGGTTCTGGAATTTCTGCTTTACGGTTGTATTGTGAACTTACTGTAATTTATTTGGGTTTAAACAGGTAATTGGACAGAATAAGCATGAGACTTGAGACAAGCGTTGTTTGAAAGTAAATTTTAGACGCATCCCTGAATTTATAATCTTTCAGGACATCAGTGGCTCCGGACATGATGGTTCTGCAGCTGGATGAGAGAGGCTGCGACTGGTTTATGTTGCTGTTCAAAAGAACATCATGTCAATGAATAACTATAACTGTTAGTTTAATACATTGTATTGAATAAAATCTGACATGCAGAGAAAGGAACACATAAAGAAAGTGAACAAGAATCCACTAGTTTTATCATAACGCATCATCAGTGAAAACACAGTTCTGCTCTTTGAGTGTTTTTCCCCCCCAAACTTATGCTCAGCATTCTTGTTGTCCTGTGTTTCTTCTTCAGTGCCATCCCGTGATGAAGAGGCCGTTCGGCTTAGTTAAAGCAGTGTTTGAACCAATCAGCATGTGGAGTAAATCCCCCCCGGCGCTGTCCCTCGTTGACTCAGGTTCTGCTCCGAGTGTCCAGAAGCAAAAAAAGGTATCCGTTCGTCTTTGATTTTCTTTCGATGTCAGTGCAGAATTACAGCAAGCAAAAGCAGCAGAGGAGCATCCCGACGGCAGGGCTGAGTGATGGAGGCGCTTCTGTCTGCCTAATGTCAGGAGATCACCTCTCACATGAAGTCGTCTGAATCATTACCATCCTGCACAACGAAAGGTAGCGAAGCTCAAAGTTAATGTGGTGAACAAAACCAGAGCTGGTCTCAGATACTTTTCCTTTACTTGATGAAGTGGCTTCTCTGTATTATCTCACAACTCTTTACATCAAAACTCGTCCATGACATAAACATATCCTTTACTTGTCTGCTTCATTCAGGCTGTGAATCTAAATAATAGTGTTCTTTGTGCCTCTTTTCATTAGACACCGATACGGTATATTTCACAGTAGGAAAACACATCGTGGTACATCTCTTTTTCTGTTAATATTGAAAATAATTCTACTAAACATGTAGCAGAAGCCCTGAGCTTTCCTGTCCGTCTATTCCTAAACAAAACATAGATTCATAGATGTGTCCTCACCTCATTGGTCGTCATATTTTCACTCTTCATCAGTGAAGTGTAGTTCCTGGAGAGACAAACCCAAACATAAGACGTTGATACATGTACAGAGGATTTAATAAAAACAGTGTTAAACTGTTGCTTTAGTAAACTATTTGACACTAGAACTACTTACTAGAACAATGTCACAGGATAAGTAACAACAACAAATAAATTACTTGAGTTCCTCCATCTCCTTTTTCCTCTTCTGTTCCTCCTTCTCTTGCTTCTTCAGGTCTTGGAGCTGAGCTTTCTTCTCGTTCCTCTCCTCTTGGTCTCTCGACTCTTTCTCTGCCGCCAGGTCGGGGAAGCGTTCATCTTTGGTTTTCTCCAGGCGGTTCACGATCTCGTTGACCTTCTTGTCCACGGCCACAATCTTCACCTGGGAAACACAGTGTGAGAATGACACACCCGTTAACTGGTAAGTCTGTGGCGATAACAGACACATGATGTAGAATACAAGAAGAAAACAACGTGGCATGCAACATCATCACCATATTCCATCACAGTGAACATGAATCTGTGCAGAATCTTTGTTCTGGACACATTTTTCCAGAGTCAGAGTGTTCTCATTTCAGTGCTGGTCTACTGACCTCTTTCTGTCGAAAGAAGCCGATCTGTCCTATGTCCATGTCTCCGGTCTTCTTCAGGTTGGCCCAAGGTGTGTAAACCACTTTGAGGTTGTTCATCTTACAGCCTGACAGCATACAACACAGCTTCATTTAACATACATAGAAATGTACATGTGTCACAAAACAGCAGAAGGAGGCTTTGACAGGATGATTTTTCAGGGTAGTCGTCAACACGCAGCTTTAAGGAAGAACTGTTTTGTTTATCATGAGTCATGCCATCTGATCAGCTGTGATAAGTCAAGGCTCTTATTCTGAAACCCATTGGTGGTGGCTGATACCTGATGCCGATCATCCAAAGACATGACGTTATCAGGAAGCAGATCTTTACCTTGGATGCTGTTGTTTTTCACCAGCTGTGCACAGTCTATCAGCACCTCAAGGGGAATGTCGTCTATGGTCTGACCCTAGAAAACACACAGAGTCCTTCAAACTATGTTTGATCAGTGTCTGAAACCCCTGACCCACCCGACAATGTTATTTAAACTTCAATCTGACAACCCTGAGATTATCCCCATTTGTAGGATTCATTGTATCTCACCACACTCTGCCCCGCCATCAAGTGTGTCCATTATGAACAGATGTAACCACTTGTATCTCTAGACTAGTCCAATGGCACATCGCACACACTAGTTTGTTTCAAACATACCCCCCTTAAGGGTTTCATACCATTTGATTCTACATCGCAGATTCCCAGTGGACGTAGAAATATACATTTTAGTGTTTAGGGAAAAAAGGGTAATTTTACATCGTGGTTTAAGTGCTCACAGTCAAGTTAAAAAAGTATTTTAATCAACAAGATATTGCACCCTAAAAACTCTGAATGTCTGCTGTATTTAAGGGCTGAAATACACTTTAACCTGAGCATCATTGTTGTCTCATTTGTGCCGTTTTGCACGAGGATTCATGTAAATTGACCAAAGATAAAGATAGACAACATAAGTTTGTCCAATAGCCAATCCTAATTAGTGTTGGGAATTAACATTTTTTGTCGACCTGCCACTGCGGCCTGTGTATTCCAAAATCTACCAGCCGCTCAACAGATAACTATTGTTTTGTTGGCTAGTGAGTGAAGCAAATCTAGCAGCCACGTGCATATTTGACCAGCATTTTAGCTGCTGCTTATTTCAAACCCTGAACGTAATACTGTATCATCAGGACTCAGGACTCGGTACTTAACATTCAGGATTTCAGGTTCATCGTGTTGAGTCTTTACCTTTGGCAGTCTCAGATAAACGTGAGCCGAGGACAGTTTGTCCACATGGAACCTGGACGTGGAAAAAAGAGAGTTAAACTTGAGTTATTCATATTGATGTTCCTCTTAATTGTGCTTACAAGCTATTCATTACAAGATATTAAATGACATCTGTTAAGCAATGTTAGTGTTGACACTCGAGTCTCACCAGATGTCTTCAGGCCATCCGTACTTTATCAGATCCTCATCTGCAAAAACAGTTAGAGGTGATGTGGCACATTACATATAGAAGTTCAACAATCCATAATCAGAGTGACAGCACCAGACAAGTCAAATACGTAGCATCAAGTGTGTGTGTGTGTGTGTGTGTGTGTGTGTGTGTGTGTGTGTGTGTATCTGCGATGTAATAACGAACTTACTTTCATATTTGTCTTTTCCCATGTAGATTGTGTAGTGAGGGTTCACCACTGAGAGGGAAACAATACATCGTTACTTACTGGATGAAGCAGCAATATAAGCTGGCACGAAACACAACAAACACAGTCACATTAAATGAGAAATGAAAAAAGTATTGGCTAACCAGGCTACTAGCTAATGCCAACTATGCTGTATCGTTAACGTTACTCACCTGCACTTGTGAAGTATAACACCATTTTACGTGAATTTAACTCGCCACTAAAATATAAACATTAAGTTTATACAGTTTTAAAGCTAATGCAGCTAATTATCAACACAAATAAATATAATCAGTTGCGCCTGATCGTTGCTGTTGTCACTTTTCGCGTGTGCAAGATGACCTGGGAAGTTGTTAGCTAGCTGCACTAAGCTACCGAGAGTTAGCAGCTACCGGTCCGGATGTACCCACAATTATATCTACAAAATAAAAGCGTGGCATTCCAACAATTCACCACAAGTTAACAAGAAACAATATTTTCACAAAATAAATGTTTTAGCGAAATGTTTTGCATAACTACACTCAATATATGTGACTAAGTGGAGAGTGGGGTTGTCTTTCAATCAATAGCCCTGCCATCAGTGTGTGAATGGGTGAATGATGACAAGTCGTGTGAAAGCGCTTTGAGTGGTTGGAAAGACTAGAAAAGCGCTATACAAGTACAGTTCATTTAATATTTACCATATATTTGAATGAAATAAGCAATAACTGCACACACGTTATATTACATGCGTAATTGTCATTTAGTAAACGACTACCTTTTATTCTGAAGTCAAGGACCAGAAGTCCATTCGCGCTTTTACTGTTGTAACTCGATTACGAATAGCTTCTCCGTGTTTCCGTTTCCGGTACTTTTTTTTTTTTTTTTTTTAGAGACTGGCGCGCGCTGTTCGAACGCATTCAAAACAGTGTGAAGAAACGCGGGTAGAAAAAGCAGCGACTCAAACTTTATAGCGACATTTATTGTTTTTACAGCACGACAGAAACGTGTTAGGTAAGAGATATTATACGTGTTTTATTGATATCTTTGAAGTGCTTGATGCGTTCTTTGCTTCTCTCATAAATTGTGTATTTACGTAGCTAACGTTAACTATCGTTACAAGGAAGCGAACCTTTAACAAGCGTTTAAGCAAGCTAACGTTACCCATCAAACAAATGTATGATGTTTCGATGTAACTTAATATATTGGTTTAAAACAAACGTGGAAACAAACAGGTGAAATGTAATCAATATCGATAGTTAGTTAGTATCTTTTGTATATGTTAATCATCCCGCCAATTATCCACTCATCTCCCCTTTAGCTGTTAAATAAGCGCTTTATTAGCTGACGTAACATGTAACACTGACGTAACATGTGGAGAGAAGCTCACATGTGTGCACAAACATGATGAAATATGGTGTCGTTTTTGGTGTAACGTTGAACTGAGAACACAGATCAATATCCAAATCTAGCCAGTAACGTTAGTAACCCAATAACCGGTGTGGCCTCCATAGGTCCATGTACCTTTAGCTTATGTTGAGAATATGTCACTTTAAGGTCAAACAAACAATTACCTAAAGATGCATTGCACTCTGTGACATTATCCTCCTACCAATAGGAAGCTTTGTTGCCCTGTTATTGTTTTTGTTTTTCAAAAAGTAAGTTAATGTTACTTGAACAAAGCTTGTCTCTACCTTTTTGTTTATTTACACTTGGTAACAGGCTGATTGGTTTTGATCATAAGTTCAAGTAGACCTGCTAATGTTAGAGTGTGTGTGTGTGTGTGTGTGTGTGTGTGTGTGTGTGTGTGTGTGTG